CTTCTTTTAATATTAAGATTGATGCGTTCATTGTGTTTTAGGTAGATATCAAGAACGATATAAAATTGATTAGAAATTCTAATAATGGAATGTTTGCAATACAGGAGATAGAATATCGATTGGCTGAATTACAAGAGAGACATATCGGATAATTAATGGATCATTAGAAATCAAACTTGAAGATTTATTTTCTACATGTGTTTATTCTTGGATGTCTTCGTTGTGGTAATTTTCGTATGAATATATGTATTTAAGAGAATTAATAACTTTATAATCATAATTCTGCTATAATTAATATTTCGCGATATGAGAATCGAAGATGTTGAAGCATTCTTAGAATTTCTAATTGGGTCATGGTAAAATTACGTTCTCTTTTTCTTATTATTTATTACCCGTTACGTGAAATTAGATTTTTTTACTTCAATATACCCCGTCGATTTTATTCTATTTTCATAAACGCGAAATGGTAAATCAATTTTTGATTCTATTACACTTTCGATATTACTTTCTTGAAAGATGCATACAAGTGCCGAAACGAAGTCTTACATCTTATCAACTTCATCGCGATTGAACATAAAAATGATAGAACATAAAAAATAAAAGAAAATGAAAAAAAGTATACGTGTTACAGTATATTAGTCTTTTACAATGATTAAGATCAAACTTCATCTTTGCTTTTTCTCTACAACTGGAATTGCAGCCATTGTAGCTTTTCCTTTTTATTTTTTTTTTGTCATATCTTTTCAATGATTCTTAAAGCTCCTATACACATTTTAACATGTTGTGATGTATGCATCAACTCCAATGTTTCATGGTACATATTATGATGTATACATGAAAACATACTTATTTTTAGCATTGGCAAATCGGCATTTGCATTGATGAAGGAAAAAAGCAGGTGTTTTAACGTTGATATCACACGAGAAACTGAGAAGAATTGGTAATGCGAAGACTGAAACAGAAACTGATACAATTTTCATGAAACCTTCGGTATCGATGCATGCATTGCAAAATGTTTCAATGCGTATAGGGGGTTTTCGTTGTTTCACGTCAGCATCTTTAAACACACGAAGGTATACAAAAAATATCCAAGTATTCTTATTTCATCGCACAAATGCATCTCTGAGTGCATGTAGATAAATGAGGAGATATGAGAGCGTCGAATGCAAAGAGATCAGTGTTGCTAGTCTCTCATTCTCTTTCTTATATGTTTAAAGTGACATCACCAAAATAATTCTGACAGAGTAGTCTTTTTATCCTCTCACCTTTCCTTTGCTTTCATTTCACGGGTCTACAGATTCATTCATAATCAGATGTGTTCAACAACGTGTTTCATTTGATATCATCATCACCACCATTATCAACATTAACATCGTAGTCGTCATCAACTCTATCTCTGTCTTTTTTTCCTCTTTTATATTATACATGATATAAAAAGAGGCTTGTCTATATTAACACGTATACTTTACGCAAACGCAGAAAAATAGAAATACATGAGTTGTAAAGGCTATTTGTGTTTACACTTTAATGAGAAGCACATTTTTAGGGCATCCACGACACAGTTATTAAGTTTTGCATCGAGAAAGAAATAAACGAGAGCAACGAATGTGTCTTATAACTTTAATTAATTCATGCCGTGATTTCACTACGCCCTTCTAGATATTGTGTAATGCTTTCAGAAGAGAATTATTATAGGTGTTTATAATTAAAAAGATATTCCACGTAACGGTAATGTTTAATAAGATTCATAAGTGCGCGTTGTTTTCGAACGTTTCTCGCTTTATCATGAATTATTCTCTTTCTTCAATTTTTAACGAATTCTTTTGACATTTATTTCGATTGCATTTTATTGTATTTTTTATTTATAATTTTATTACGATCTAATCTATCTTTAAAGCTCGTCAATTATGTACGCTTAGAATTAGAAGAAGTCGAAATAAGATCGAGTATTACCTTCTGTTGAATTTAAACGTGATTATATTATTACCGCGTGTTAAAGGCACGTAAATGTTCATATTATTTTTTATATTCGTCTAATTAAATTTTCCGTTTAAATTGGGTCAACATCCATAAAATCCGGTAAAGAAAAAACATTTGGTAAGAATTCCCAGCTTTGAGATTTTGTTCTTTTATGTGGGTATATCTTTTCCCCGTGGGGAAAAGATTTTCTTCTTAATGTAGATAGTGAATGCCTTATAATATTTTCAACGTTTACTCTTCTTTTTTTTTTTTTTTTCATTTTATATATAAAGAGGTAACGCTGCTATTGGTTGGACGTCCTATGATACTTTTATTATCCTTCATCTTTAGTTTAATGAAAATGCATTATTGCGTTTCGCACAAGCACCCTAACGTACGTTTCTAGTGCTACTAATAATAGTTTCGACTTCGTTTCATGCAAAAATTTAAGTTCACGATAGATTATACCCTTTTCATTGTATTTTGATAGAAAAATTCTTTCGTCGAATATTCGATACAATTCCTGTAGTCTCTACATGTACTTACACTCGGATAGAAAGGTAAATTATTTTTGAAGTAATTACTTGTATATATATCATATTTGATTCAATACTTAAGAATCCTGCTTGACATTATTTCCGATTTTATTTGAATGCGAAATAGTTTTTTTTTTAGTTTTGATTCGAAAGATATACTTATCCTTGGGTGCAAGAATTTTCAAACATTTCATTTGATACATATATACGTACTTAGATATGTACATACATAACTACATACATACTTATATATTTGGTGAAAGCTTGTAAGGATTAGGTATGTGTATATAGGAATGTACGAAGTGCATCGTGCACCTGCAGTGCAGTGCAACTTGTCATGAGGAATTATTAGCTCGAACGATTCTTGTCTTCGAGGAAAACAGGACATAGCGTTGACTATCGAGCAAACGACGATGAATGGACAATGACGAATACGTTGACTCGTAAAGGTCATCACCGCAATGCGTTCAAGCATGTATTTTCGCGGACCTAGTCCGAGTTTTAGTATTATTCAGACCAAACGTAGAACGTCTAACTTTCCCGGAGTGAAGAAATTTCTAATAAATTTAGTTTGCTCGAATTTTCGATGTAATTAAGCACGAATTTATTATACATTCTCGAGATACGTTCCTGAGATGAGATGCTGTGGTGACTATTCTTTTATTATATATATATTATACTTAAATAATTTTTATACTTATATTTATATGTTATCGTTAAAACGTAAAATATCAGCTAAACCATGAAATAACTATACTGATTATACACTTTAACGATAACATACATATTATATCGTGACGTTAACATTTTTGCTTAAGGATTAATACCTGACTCTTTATTAGTTCATTTATTTATTACAATTTTATCGAAGAAACAGAACATTTTTCGTTATTATTTAATTGTATTCATCTGACAAAGAGAACGAAAAGCTTCAAAGAAGAGAACTATGTATTATATATATGTTACCGTCAAAGCCGGAAATCAGTCATTGCTAGTAATTCCATTGTTATCAATGCATCAAACCTAGGAAAAACTGGAAGAAGTTTTTAATTTCCGACTTCGTCGGAAGGCGCTTTCCATTGATAACAGTGCCGAGGAATTACTAGGAATGACTGATTTCCGGCTTTGACGGTAACATATATATATCTTAAAGCTTTGTTATATCGTGCTTTCGATAAATATGTTACTACTCATATTGCATGCTTCTGTACATACATAAATATATATATATACTTATATAATTACATACTTTTCAATACCTTCGTAGTTTCCATAGTATACGTTCCTCTCTTTATCGATTACGTATTATATTTTTCTCCTTCTTCTTGTTCCTCATTGTATTTATTAATTATTACTGTTGCTTGCTTCGTATTTGTTGTTTTTATTATAATTGTCTTTGTTGTTCATTGTTACGCATGATTTCGTTTCTCTGCACGTGGTCACGTGTCTCTTTCATTCTTCCTCTTCCTCTCGCTCTCTCTTCGTTCTTTCGACTAAATGCAACTAATTATAATTACTAATACGGTAATATTTTATAACTTTTGTAATTAGATGTGTTAGAAAAAACGAATATGTTAGAAAAACGACTCGACCCTCTTTTCTTTTCTCGAAATACGTTTAAAAAATAGATTCTGTTTTGTTATTTCATAATAATCTCTTGACGTTAGATTCTTTTGAATATTTATTTATTTTTTGTTTTCAAATATATCGAATTTAGCGAATATTAAACGCGCTTCTGACGAATGGATAAACAATTTCTTCCTTGAAACATTTTCGTAGCTGAGCCATTATTATTGTTCTATTTCTAAAAGAAAAAAATACTAACAACGATCATCTTGCAACATTATTTCGAATACATTTTCATCGACGTATCTTTCTTTACTCGTAGTATACAATTTTATTCATTTATTTGGTTCACTCAATATTTTGATTTTATGATCTTTTCATTTTTACCATCACAAAAAAGAAAACGCGAAATTGATCTTAGAACATATTCGAAAGTTCCTCGTAGTTGGCTCAAGTATTTTATATCCTGAGTTTCATAAACCGTGACATTTGATAGAGCACTATTGTGTTGCACCTTTTTTTTTGTGTGTGTAAATGAGCTCTCCGCACGAGCAAGCAAAAGAGAAGCGATCGATACAGCTAAAACATTGAAAGAGAGAAGAGAAGTGAGGGAGGAGAGGTAGACATAATTTAAAATTTGTCTTAATCGGTTTAGAAATGAGAGAGCGAGAGAGTGAGAAAGAATGGTGAAGAGAGAGAGAGAGAGAGAGAGAGAGAGAGAGAAAATGGAGAGATAGAAAGAAAAAAAAGGGCGCAAGAGAGAGAGAGAAAGAGAGAGAAGAAGCGAGCGAAAGAGACAGAGAGAAAGAGAGAGAGAAAGAGAGAGAGAGAGAGAGAGAGAAAGGGAGAGAGATAAAAAATTGTAGGCAAAAAAAAAAAGAAAATAGTAGGAAGAAAGGAAAGAACATTCAAACATATCCGAAATGCCAATTGTTCCAGGACCTAAAGAAGCGCGGTTCCCACACCTGTGACATGCAGGCCCTACAGCCACTTCCGGTCCCCACCACCACCACAACCAACACCGCGCCTGCCATGACTACTTCCGGTGGGCAGCCACCACTTCCGCTTTCGGAGACCGCTTGAGTACGATCGAGACCAATCACGATCACCATATCCACTAATAAGATCACCTATAACTTTCATCGTTCTTCTCTACTGATTGCTTCGAGAACGAACTACGGTGGCCATCTGGCCACGAACACGGTGAGCCTGAATCACGATCATTTAAAAATGAAATTTAAACAAAATATATATAGAACCAAAAATATAGAACAAAAAAAGATACTAGAACGAAAGATGGAGAGATATCGTCGAAAAAGAAAGGATAATGGAAGATTGAGAAGAAGAATGTGTATAAAAAAAGCGCGTCACCGGAAGTAGTCGAAAACTTCTTCGTGATCCATTGATAGATTTTCGTGATTCACACGTATCGCTGCTCACTTTGGATACTTTTCTTAATTAGCGATAGATTTAGTATTCGAGAGAAACAATTTGCAACAGTTTATCACGATCACACTATATACGACGAAAGTTTCACATCAGTTCAAGCACGCAAATGATTCCACGTTCTTATGAATTTAATTCGTTTAAGATACGCGAATTTTTGTTAAATGAAAATTTATATTTTTCACAAACATAATGTAATATGTGTAATTTATTATCCTGATTAATAATTTGTTACATATTGAAAATTTGAATGATTATTTAATATAAGAATAATTTGTATCATTAAAAATAAATTTTCCGTTAAAGTTGGAAATTTGGAAAGTAGGAAATACTTGAATCATTCGAAATCAGAAATTCTGGAGAAAAATTTTGGAAAATGAATTATTAAATTTGAATAAGAATAATTTACACACAAGGTTTTTTATATTTTCAAAATGTTAAAAACATGTTCTAAGAGTTTCTGACTTCAAATAATTTTGGAAATGATTTGAAACTGTGTGTTAATCGAATCGTTTCAAATATTTGCTAGAGATTCGTATCAAATGGGTTCGCATGAAATGTACAAACTTGCTTCAGCCAATGGGTTCTCTTCTTTCTTGTCAGATACTTTCTAGTAGTAGAAAAGTTTTTCTCGATCGTATTGTCATATCTCCAAACGTTGGAGAAAACTTATATGTTTTATTTTGAAATCTTTAGGCTACTTTCGGTGGTTAGCGCTATTTTTTTCTCAACACACAATAAGTTTCCCATTCTTTTTCGATATTTCACTCTGTTTCTCTCGCGATATTACTAAGCAAAGTAATCCAGTAATCGTAAACTAATTCTAGTTTAAAAATGTGATCATTTTTCAAATATAATATTTTATTTCAAATTAAAATATTTAATTAAAAAGTATATATTTAAATAAAATTATATTTTAAATATTTTGTATAAATAAACTTATACAAATATATGTTTGTATTAATTATCTTTTTTACTCGGATGAATTCAAATTTGTTAAAATAAAATACGTAACGTTAAATCACGCGTCTAGGATTTCTTTACGAAATTCTTCGATAGTTATTATTTTATTAACATTAATAAAGCTTTGTCGTTTCTTTCAAGCGAAAACCGATCAACTGTACTAGCCTACGAGTGTATAATATCTTATAATCCATGAAAGGGTAAAACGCAACGACGTTTTGTCGTATCCATCTCGTCAAGGTCGAACGATAATTATACAAGCTACCCCTTTAGTTCTTCTCGCGATTATTGGATTACGCTTTAAGATCGAGATGCTTACTTTTAGTTAAAAGGACGAGAGCTATAATAAAACTTGATTACACGCTAATCAATATCGGATATTCGTAATTCAAGCGTGAAATATGACCTTTCGATCCGAATAATTTAAAAAAGATAATAACTCATTGTTTGAACTTGTTACGCTTAATGTTTCTTATAAAAATGTTTAACAATCTTTTTTATAAAATTATCAAAATCTTTAAAAAATCTACGAAACTTCATATTCAATATTTCTTTATTCTCCGAAATATTTTCAACGTAGTTTTACTCTATCAGTAAACGTTTTCTAATACACAGTCTTGCCATTTTGTTTGAACATAATGAAGAGTACTGTGAGTTGATTCCTCGCAAAATATGTATCGGTCGGTAGTATCGAGTTTGGTATCGAGGCAGATCAGCCAGCAAATGGATGATGAATCAACCGGTAATCGTACACCAAAGCTCGTTACTCGAATTTCGATCCTGAGAGCTTTGGATGCTTGACTAGACGATGATGCCAGTTTGAGAAAGGAACTTGATCCTTCGAAACGAGGTCGAAGGTAAATTTACACTGAAGTAAACCGCCGAAATACCTGGCGTGGAATGAATACGTTCCTATTGGCTTATCTCACAGAGTACCTTTTCCGGATAGAATTGTCATTGTTCGATCGATAATTCGAATGACAATGTTTCAATAAAAAATCAGGAGAATGATTTATAATATTTTTCAAACGAGTGTACTAACACAATAATTCTTCATTATTACGCCTAATCTCAAAATAAATATTGATTCGATACTTATCATGTTTCGTATAAATACGAGAATGACATTGAATGGTAGAAATGGGGATTATTCACAAACGATGGGAACGAGCTTCGTTATCTGGTCATCGACCGTACAATACCAACTAACTATCTCTCTCTCGAAGTAACTCTGAGAGAGCCTCGAGGTATAATCTCGTAGAGATATCGATCAAAGTTCTCCACTCTCAACGGTGTTACTCTCCTCTCTAGTTTCCTGGGGTGCAAGCAACCGAGTCGAGTGTGTTATTTCTATCGCTCATTCTGCTGCTTTAGCCAGTTTCACTAAGGTATCTACCATCGTTTCTGTATAAATGTGTGCGTGTATCTATTCGTGTATGTGCGTGTATGTGACGGAATATAGAAACTCACTCTCGCATAGACAAAAAGAGACGCGTATGCGCCATCAGCATCATTTTCACGGACGCCTCACTTATTCTCGAGATTCTTTCAAGCTTTTCTCCTTCTTTCTTCTTATTTTTGATCCGTCTATCTATTTCTTTCTAGCCCTTTTCCTACGAACCAGCTCAACCTTTCTCTCTCTCGTTTCTTTCATCCACTATTTTCCGGAACTGTACCACCATTCTCATTTTACTGGTTCCTTCTTTTGCATGACAATCGTCAGCGTTGTTTCCTTTCTTTCTCTTTCCCCATTTTATTTTTCTTTCGTGAATCTTCTTTAAGACCCAACAAGTTGGCCGACTTTTCTCGAGAACACACGCCATAGAAAAGCCTAGTTTACTTCTCGAACTCTTTTTCGTTCAACTTCCGGAAATCTGATAGTCGTACGAATATAGGCGAAGTTCATCTTTCTCTTTTCCTCTTTTATTTTTTGTCGATTTCTAAATTGAATTCCATTATCCAATTTTGACCGATATATTGGCAGGTTTCATTGGAATGCGTGTTTTGCGACTGACTCGTTGTTCGGGTTTCTTCTTCATTCTTTGCCGTTTTATTAACCCCTTCGATCGATTCTTCGATTTCTTTTTTATTTTTTATGTAAATTTAACTTTTTTGGTTGACACTTTTATATGATATTAATTCTCTTGTCGATAATGTCTTTCAATTTTCAATATCAACTGGAGAATAATTTTTTGTCTATAGACGTTTGTATTAAAATAATAAAATTACTTTTATATTCGAAATTGATAAGCTTTCTATTAAATGAAAACAAATTGGATTTAGATAATAATGGTACGTATATATAATATTACGTTGATATTAATTATATACACATAATTGACAGAAATTATAATTCGACGATACGGTAGTTTATTAAAAGGAAATAATATTTTCTTTTAGAAAATTAAATTCGATAAAATTGGATAAAAACTTCTTTTTCATAAGTACCTATTTCACATTATATTCTTCGTTCGCACATTCTGGCTTACAAGGCTCAAATGTTTATCAATTTAATGCATTTTCAGTGAGATTGGCAAATTCGAATGCGTCCAACTGTGAAATTGCAATATAGATAAGCAGCGTTCTCGAATCGATGGATTTATCATCACACATAATTTAATTTCAGTGAATCTATTGATCTTATTTGGATTTGCTTGAGAGATGAAAAAGAGAAATATGAATGACATCTAGTGAGTTTATGCTTCAAATTAAACAATTATTTTTTATAATGGATTTTAATTCCAGTTTTGATCAATTATAAGGGGATTTCTATTACAGTTTTCAAGCTTCAATGGCTGATTAATAATATCCCATTTTTTAATTTTTAATATATTTATCTTAATGGAAGTTATAGTAGCTAGAGAAAACACTACTTTAATAACTGATAACAACAATATATTCAGTAGTCGATATTGTAAGGCAGTACAATCGTAAGACTTGATATTTGGCTGCTGTTATGCTTGTTCTATGTTACTCTTAAGATTCTTCATAATACGTTGTTCTTTTAAGGTGTTTCATAATACACTTCTCGATATTTTTTCTTGATCTTATATCATCTCATACTTCAAGCATTCCTAGCACAACTAATGACGAGGTATACCTCTAATAAATCCGTCAAGGGTTCTATAATTTTTCTACCTTACAAATACACATCAGTAGGGATCATTTGGATTCTTTTGAGCGCGGCTAGATTTAAAGGGTCTCTAATATCCAATTACCAAGAATATTGTGAACGGTTTAGAAAATATCTTACATTTTGTATTATCAGAGTGTTCGTCCGGTAAAAATTTAAAACATCTTGTATATGGTAGATAATAATTTTCGTAAAATATTTAACAAAACGATGAAAATGATTCATTTTGTAGAAATAAAATAGAATACAATTTCGTTGTAACTTTTTCATGTACCTACATTAAAATTCTTTCCTATTACACCGCTCGTATACGCAATCAGATAAATGCAAAGATGTGAGATTTGAATCCAACCTACAGACGAGATATTCCAATATCCTATTGTAATTTAGGATAAAATTTTACGCGAATTTGTTCGTACTACGTCGTAAAAAAATATTCTTATAATCCGAAGAATTATTATGTATCTTCCGTGTAGATAGGTACTCGGTAGTTTAATATTTGGTTCTTTATTTTTTGCCAGGCATTCCAGAAGGCTGACTTTGAAAAGGAACATTGAAATCCTTTTTTTCTCTTTTAATCCTTTACTCTCGTTTGACTTTTGGAAATTTAGTTCGGGCTTAAAAAAAGCTGCGACAATAGATGACCGAGTTCTCGACTGTTCATGATTGGCGGGCTTGTTACGAATAACTTTTAAAAACTACTGACTATTATTTCGAGAACTCACATAAGACTTTTTAATAACTGCATCGAATTCTGCTAGAATTTTTTAAGAATACAAAGAGATAGAGAGAGAGAGAGAGAGAAAGAAATAGTAGGATTTTAAGCTTACTGTGAGACATACCTCATAGCTTTAACAAACAATACAACATACCTGGAACACGATAAGCTTTCGCATTAGAACGCGTTTTTCATATTCGATAATAAAATACGAACGAACAATAGTTATTTTCGCGAAAGTAATATTTCTGTGAAAATAATATTTTTTTTTCGATAGATCTTCAAATATCATCCCATGTTATTTTCACTTATCCGATCGTGCTCTTTCGATCCAAAGCAGTTTAAGTAATGAAATAACTATTAGTGACGCAATGAAGCTGATATTATCCTAATTAGATGAGTATCGATCATGTTACATGCAGGTTTACATTTTGCGGCTGGCCAGAGTCATAGAAATTTTACCATATTCCTGTAATTCTATTAATACGATTACTGACGTTGACACGTTTTAAATGCGTTCTCGTAGCAGCATCATTTTCTATCTATGCACTAATTTACATTATTATATTATTTATTCCAACGAACGAAATAATTATTCGTTTCTTCGTTTGACATTGTACTTACAATTATTCAATTTATAATTGTTTCCAATTCATCGAATGTTTCAACAAATTAATTATAACATTAATTTAACTGTTACAAACTATTCCATTTCATAGATACAAGCTCTCGTTTGTTTAGTTAGCATGCATATGATATTATACGTAATATATTTGATAATCGAAGTAATTTAAATATACAGACTAATTTTAAATGAATTTGTCGTATTATCTTCTATATTTTGAAGTTTAAGCATTTCGATTAAGTTTTTATCATATAAATATTCAAATTAGTTGGGTTTAAGGTTCATTCAAACATCTGCGCGTTCAAATCTTTCTCCGACACTTTATCCACGTGGGATATTCAATTTGGATTGTGACATTTAAAATCCATTCATATCTCTTCGTTTTATTAAATTTATCTCTATAGAGAGAAGATATAATGGAGATTTCTATCTCTGTAAGCATCTCGATCTCATTGAAATACGTAACACTGATACGATCTTAAAATGCGATCGAATTTATTCAAGAACAAGTTATTTTTCATTTAATTCGAGTATAGAAAACTAAAATATAAATTTAAAACGATACAATCTATTATTATGGGTATATTGCAGTAAAGGGAAAATACTCTGATACGAGTCGACGAGATAGAAGTTCCGAAATGATTTACTACTACCCCCCAAGAAGAAATATAATCTTTAAAAGAGATTATTAAAAAAAAAAACCAAGAATATTCTCCGAGAAGTATATCAAGATTTATCATCAGATCGAGAAAGAGAAGATTCGAGTAAATGAAAGATGAGGAGGGATGGAATAGATCAGAATTAACTATGATCCAAGATCGAAGAAATTTCAAATCCGGATCTCGTCGATGAGATTACTACGCTCTGTTAGTTTTAATTATTAACACACGCACATATGTCCACGCATACACACGCACATACACACATACATAATTTTCGATTTCGATGACAAATAAAGAGAGAAAAAGATCGATCTTGTATAAGGGATCTTAATAGCGAGATCAACGTCCAAAATATTTCAATGTCCTAAAAAATGTCCTTAAAGACTCACGGTCTCGCGTTGTAATCTTTCAAAAATAAATTCTTTCTTCTATATAGGAGCATATAAACAGACAACTATAACGATAATAGATTAATACTCAAGGTCCACAAGGTTGCTCGTGAAGGATTTCTAAATGATTTCCAAGAATGATGACTCGCAAACGAATCGAATTTCTACGATGAGTTTAAATCATTATTCGAAAAATTCGTTTTATCGATGTTAATTATATCGACATTCATCGCCGTTCGATATATTATGATGTTGTTTGCGTGCATTTATGTAATTTGTTTATCTTGCGAGAGGAGAGAGATGTAGGAAGAAAAGGAAAGAAAAGGCAAAAGAAATACAAACAGAATGAAACGCATTTCTTGATAATACGTGATAATGCCACGATTAAAAAAGATAGACAAGTTGCAAAATAAGAAAATGGCACCATAATATGCCTTACTCCGAGTCGCATAGTTATTTTTCATATCTTGACGAAATTTATAGATTGTATATTCGATAATCTTTAAAAGTGAGATCCAAAATATCTCATTAATAATTCGTATGCGAATTGACACTTACGTTAATAAATCTATATAATTGATTTTTGTTAATTAGACGATCGGGCTTCGGGTCGAACTTCGTCGTTTCCTTAAATTGAAATTTTTCACAGTTTCTTAATGAATTATTCGTTTTCTCTTGTGATGCATGTATACTTATCAATACTTACTCTACTACGTAATAATACTAAGATATTAAAAATTAGAAATTTTTCATAATTATAAATTGTTTTTTAAAATATTATTAAAAGCGTATGCAAATTACATACATATATAGACACAGACATACCTATGTACATATTCGATAAGTTTTGAAGACACTTACAATTAGTCGTCTTCATCGTAGTTATAATTCTACGTTATCTACCTACATACCTACCTACCTACCTACTTATCTACCTACCTACCCATCTATCTATATTTAATATAGAAAATCTTTAGAGATAAAAAAGATGCTTGAAATTAACGGACTATTAGTAGTTTCTTTAACGAATCGACGTGGTTCCCGAATAAATTTAAATCTATGATAATTATAGTTTGCGATTTTACTCAAGATAATGTTTAGTTTCATCTCGGATATCGAGAAATTATTATTTGCGATTATAAAGTGCGATTTATTAAAAAGGGTCTCGTGTCTGCCTGGTATTGTCGATAAAACGGAATAACTATAAGTTTTATTTTCAACTTTTATCCATGCCAACCGCAATGTCCAAAAGCGGAGCGAAATAAAGAATGAAAGAGAAATTATTGTCCATGTGTAAAAATAGTATTGATAATAATAATAATAATAATAATAATAATAATAATAATAATAACAATAATAATAATAAAAAGAAGAAGAAGAAAAATAATAATTATAATAATACAAAATGACGATCGAATGAGAAAGATACCGTGAAAGAGAAAGAAAGAGAGAATAAGAGAATGTGTTTGTGTGTGTATATGTGTGTATGAGAGAGAAAAAGAGAGAAAGAGAGAGAGAGAGAGAGAGAGAGAGAGAGAGAGAGACAGGGACCCACCTACATTTGTATTCGATTAAAACTAAAAATTAAGATAATACCCTCGTTCTTTCAAAGTTCCGCGTTCGGTTGTGCCCGATCGTGAAGATATTTTAGAAAAAAATAAATTATTGAAATAAAAAAATCGTTGGGCGTCGATTTGAAGAACGTCCACTCTCTCGTCGTTATTTCGCTGTATGATCGATCGTTGAGATGACTTTTCAGGTAGACAGATATTAGATATTACGTTTAATTTAATCTCTTCGCAATAAAGATATAATAATACGAAAGCTTAAATTAAACAAAGAAGAATTTAACACGATTTTTACGATACATTCCTTTTACTCGCGTTTATGTTGTTCCATAAATGATGATAATTATCTATTGTGAGTAGATTTTTCATTTATTCTCTTTGTAGATTGGTGTAACATAGTATAAATATATTATAAGAGAAATAATGAAGAATTTGAGAAAGAAAGAAAGAGAGAGAGAGAGAGAGAGAGAGAAATAAAGTGAGAATTAGTAAAATAACTATTAAATACGCTTAAATGTTCTTTCTCTTTCTGATTCTCTACGATCGACGTATTTTGATCGAGTATTATACGAATATAATATTTGTTGGAATAACAAAAAGAAATAGACAATTGTAAAAAAAAAAAAAAAAAAGAAAGAACGAAAATTCTCATTGTGAGAATTTATAAAGTTATGGGGAAATGAAATCTCGATTAACGATCGATCGATACAAGCGTGTGAAAAATATATTATACGGAAAATAAAACGGAGATTGAGAGTAAAAAAGAATATAAGCTTATTAAAAAAAATAATAATAATACCGATTATTCGTGTAATCAGGATATTACATGACATGAATTATGTAAATATTTCGTCGAAGTTCTACGAGAAAAAGTATTTATTTGAATATAATTAACTTTGTAATTACCTGTAACGATCAAACTTCAAGACAAAGAATAAAAGAGAAAAAACGGAGAGAGAGAGAGAGAGAGAGAGAGAGAGAGAGAAATAACATATACATATATATATTATACATATTAAATTATATATATATAAACATTATAAATATAACATTATAAATATTATTATGAGTGAAAAGCAAAGGAAAAGAGATAATACACATACGAGACAAATTCACGCTCACACACACTTGCAGCCCACGTCGTGCAATAAAATAAATTCTAAATCGTTTCAAACTACTAGTATGCGTGATGGTTTGAATGTGTTCAAGGTTTTACGAGAATAAGAGAAAATGAGAGAGAGAAAGAATATGAAAGTGAGTGAGAATGAGAGTGTGTGTTGTCGAACGAATATATACTCTCTTTGTGTGTGTATATTACTAAAAGAGAAAAATAGGAAGAAAAAGAAAGATAGAGCAAAAAAAAAGAGTATAAACTTGAGTGTCATGAAAAAAAAAAAATGATCTTCTGTCGTTTTAAGCTGCAAATAGATCCACTGTACAAGGTAGTATTAAAGAAAAAAAGAAAATGAAGAAGAAGTATACATGAAAAGTTTAACACATTAGAATCGAGCATATAAAGAAATAAAGAGAGAGAGAGAGAGAAAAAAAATTGAAAGTTAGCTAAAGAAGGTATCCGTCGCAAGAAAAATTTCAGGATTAGCGATTAAAATATAATTAATCTCGTTCACTATGAGTCATGAACGTAGCATATAATGAGCAACGTGACGTTTTAACTTTTATTCATCCTCCCTCCTATTCTGTCATTAAAATATGACGATTAAGAAACAACAGGGACTGCAGAGAACTTCTTTTGTCCTTCTTTCTCGTGTGCCAAATTCCCGAAAAATTGATCAAGCCTCGTTCGTATCTTTGATTAAGGTCAATAAAAATGAACAATTATTAGATCATTACTTATTTAATACGTACTGTATAATATTTTCTCGATTAGATATTAATTGCTCAAACATTTTTATTTTAATTTAAATTATTTTGTTTTATTTTATTTTGTTTAACACGTTTTACGCGTATATCTAACGCGTGTAAAATCTAATACATTTTCGTTAACTATCTCATGTTGATACGTTTGATTAGAGAGATCGACAGAGAGCATTCGATTGATCACGTTTTGTACTTTGTGCTTCAAACAAATCATCCGAGTATGGAGAGAGAAAGAGAGAGAGAGAGAGAGAGAGTACGTTATTGATTGGTAAAATAATTAATTAATAATTATAAGTAATCCGAGGAAGTATGATAGGAAGATGAATAATAATAATAATAATATTAATAATAATAATTAAATAATAATAATAATTAATATTAATACAAAAAGAAATAATAATAATAAAACAAAGCGATGAGTAGTCACGTTTAAATAGGAAGATAAGGGAAGAAAGAGAAGAAAAGAAGATGAGAGAAGAAGAAAAAACCAAAATGAGAAAGAAAATATAATAATGAGTCTTTCAATTCACTACCGTACTGCCAATTTTTCCGAAGCGACGTAATAACTTTAAATAAGAGGGTTTAATAGACAAAATACGCGACGCCCGTCTCTCGTCGTACATACACCTGCATTCATACATACATACGTACATACATACATAAATACATACATACATACACATATACATATATAAACAAGTACATGTTTACATACGTAATAGTTATCTTTTCGTTTTTTTTTGATCACTCTGAACTTTTGCCAGGGTCAAGTCCTAGAAAACTTCTAGGATTCTCTTATGATATTTTATTCAGGAAAATAGGAAAGAGTAAGAAGATAATTCCAATGTATTTTGTTTTACGATAAGCGAGTTCGCGAATACGATGAAATTCAAAACTGGAAAGTAAGATAAAATGAATTATTAATTTAATCACACGCAAAAGGGTAAATGATATATTTTGTTTATTATCGATTATGTATAAATATCGCACGCATGCACAAACATAGAAAAGAAAGATAAGGAAAGAGATTAAATCCGACGATTTATCTTGTTCGAACTGCGTCACACATATACACATACACATATGCTTGTACACTTAACTGTATAGCGTATAACACGCATATGTATATTTTAAATAGAAAATCAGAGATTTTAGTTATAAGATTGATTAAGTTTTTTTCTTCCATTCGAAATATAATTTATCACGATATTAAAAAACGAACTTAAACTCCGTTCTTTTCATATAATTGTTCGCTGCTTAAGATGCAACAAAGAAATAATAAAAGATGAGTATAATGATTTTATAAGCAAGACACTTGCCGTTCATGGACTTCTACATATTCGAATTATAGCAAAATGCAAAATTTGCGATTTGTCAAACACTTTATGTTCTTTGCACACCGATAGTTCGATGTTAAACATTTTACGTTTAGTTAACGATGATATAGAAATAAACTAATTTTAATATACGTTTCACTTACGTGGAGACAAACGCACGTGCACGCGTCGACAGACGATCCATAAGATTTATGATATGTTCGCTAAGAAATACGATGGGCGTCGAAATTCATACGTTATATTTATATTATTTTGAATAATTCAAAATAATATTTATTGCTAAAGTTCCTCGCTATTCGATGCGAACGAACTAATCCATAAAACAAATCCTACGTTCTTGAGGCAAACCCTTTTCATATTTCTCTTCTTTCTTTTTTGTAAATTTTGAACGCTTTGAAAATTTCCCAAAAGCTTCTTGTTCCCAAAATTTATGATCAAAAGTGAGCATTATTCTTTTATGATGTTGTTGTATTTAATAGAGTATTTAGAAAATTCATATGAGAATACTAAAGTGTTAACATTTTAACTAAATGAAAAAACCAAAAGATTTCATAATAGATAATTTTATGATAATATCAATTTAACACATTTTGAAAAAAATTCGTGTTTTGTAATGAGTTTATTATACGAGCACTTGTATTTTTATTATCTGTTTGGAATTAAAAAAACGCGTTGAAATAGTACAATTAATTATGTTGTCGTAGTCTTTCTCGATATACCATCGCTGAATTCGCTTGGAGAGACATGCCAAATATGTTTGAAAGGATGAAACGGAACAATTCGTTCGTAGAAAGACGCAGAATCATTGCGGGAACGGTCGATTATTCGATACCTAGAAAATAAATTGTACTTCTTTTGGGGATTGCCGAATCCCTCGCGTAGTTTTCTTCGTTCGTAGCAAACTTTCGTCGACTGGACCGAATAACTTTAACGTTTTTCTTCAGAGATAAGAAATTTTATTTCTTCATTCTGTGTGAAAAATACATTTAGAAAATATTATTATCATTATATTTACGTTACGACGTTAATTTAAAATTCATATAAGACGTAATAATTTAAAAAATTATCTGTCCTATTGAATATATCTAGGATCGTATTTCGAATATCAAGATTTTTGGGCAATAATAATGTTATTCTTAATCAAATTAAAATGATAATCGAGAGAAATAAATGATAGTAAAAAATGATATAAGTTAAAAAAACAACAGTATCTTTAACGATCGAGAGTAATTATGCTGTAAGAAAAAAATACTAAAAAGAGAAAAAAAAAAATAGAAAAAAAAAAGTACTCATTAGACGTAAAGTAAAGAGGCAAAAGTGTTTTTAATCAAAGGCGTTGTCTAACTTCTATCCCGCCTTACACAAAAAAAAAAAGAAAGATAAATAAATAGAACCTTGTATTATTTATCATCATAGGTACCTTTCACCTATTGAGAATCCTTCACTTAACTTCCCTCGAGACGACGAGGAAGATGCGAAAGCGATTAAATCGATTTATAGTTAATAGTCTTACTGAAAAATTCAACAATCTTGTGTACCGTAGTGACTTCGTTCTATCGTCGTCGTTTCTCACCTTTCGAAATCTCGATCGTGTATCTATATTTCTTAAATGTTCTATTTTTACAAATAACTCTCTCTATATATATATATATATATTTGATGTAGTAATTAATTCGGTGTTTTGATATTAAATTCATTGCATCAAAATCGCCATATTTTTGTCTTGAAAAGAAATTCAGTAGTTGTTTGAGAGAAATGGACCAAAGTCATTGAAAATAATGGAAATTATTTCGAAGAATAACAGATATTTTAGATTGTTTTATAAATAAATAAAAATTAAATTTTGTTAAAATGCATCGTATTAATTGCTACACTTAATATTATAGATATGTACATAAAACTTGACGATAATGAAATTCTAACGAAACGAGAGAGATTTATTTATGTAAATATAAGATTATTCTCTAGTACTCCTTTGTGCTTCTTCGTGGCTCGAAGAAAATCATCTCTTGAGAATTATTTTATTCCGGAAAAAAAAGATGGAGAGAACAAAAAACAAAATAAAAGTATAAAGAAAAAGTAGATGAGACAAAGACAAGAATAGACATTCTTCTATGTAGAAAATGATCATTTACTGTACGTTCTTTTGCTCCTTTACATTATTTTTTCTATTTATAATTGGTAATTGTTCTATAACATTAAAGTAGTTCTGATAAATTAAAAATAACATTCTTTGATCGTATCTAAAAAGACAAATAAAAAAATCGATGCTCCGTTAAAAGCATATAATCATTAAGATAGAAGGTATATTATGGCACTATAAAGGATAATTTTTTGATAAGGCATTATGGAATAATGCATAGTAGTTATCGATTAAATGCTTTATCGATCGTATCCATTTAATCAAAATCTTCTAATTTAAGTACTTTCTTACGTTATGTCACACTTAATATTTATGTTACGATTTTTCAATTCAATTAGTATTTTCATTTCATTGATTTATTAATGGAATAAAATGAATATATCACACAAATCGTATTGATGATTGTTAAAATTTCAAATCGATTATTTTCTTTAATAATGTGTTATACCTATTTAAAACAAAAAAATACAATTCATCGTATATTAGAAAAACTATTTAAGATCTTGTTAACTATTGAAATAGAGTATGCGTAGGTATTTGTTAGCCTAACGTTAGAAAGTTTCTAGTTAATTACGAAAATGCGAATATCTTGTTGGAAGATCAAGATGGCAATCAAACAAGTATGTTACGATAGTATCCCACGCACATCAAATAATTAACTTTAGCTACTTGTGATAACGATTAAAGTCGATCGATTCAAACTATTCTACTTTAATTACGCTACAAGCTTTGTCTTTATCTGTTCACGCGGGTTTGCATGGTGATGTTATCAAATCTTATAATTAAACGCGAATTCGAAGAATAGATCATTTAAACATTATGTTTAAGGACAAGATTAGTCAATTTTTATTACCAATATAAAAGAGTTAAAGAAAAGTAAAAGGTTCGTATAGAATATTTAAATAAATAGCAAGCTCGTTAAACGATTTGATGGAAAGTATATGACAATTAGGATTTCTTATTACTTAAAAGGAAATCGTCTTTTGAAGAGGAACAATCTATTAAATCGTTTCACTTCAATTAATTGCCTCTTAACGTCGAGAGGATGATTCATTGAGTATAGAACGTGAAGATTATAAAATGAAAGGCGCCGTAAAGTACTTACTGTTTTTTTTTTTTTTTGTTATCTTTGTACTTACCTTTTCTCCTTCTATAAGCATTTAACTGATCTATCATTAAATATCGATCTTATACAACATTAAGAATTTATTAATTAGGCTATTATCTTGAACCTGTGCAAGGATGATTTGTTTCGTTTCTTAATAAACAAATATCGTAGGTAATATCATTTTTCCTATTTGAACGAAACTTACTCTTTTTTTACAATTTTTAAGAAAAACTTAATGAATAAAAAGAAAATCAAATAGATTCTAAACGTTATAATAAAAATTAGAGAAGTCTCGTATATTTCCTTTCTCGATTTCGAGTCCTTTCGGCTTGTGCGTTCGTCTGTGTGCGCGTGTGCGTGTGCGTGTACGTGTGTATGTGTAAGAAAAAGAGAGCACGTTAATGATAACAAGAGCAAAAAAAAAAAAAGAGAAAGAAAAGAAAATAAAAAAGGAAGAACAGGAGAAGGTATCAAAGTCTTTAGAGGATTTAATCACTTATCCTGATCGCTCCCAACTTTATGCTCTTTCATACAAGATTGCCTTTTCCTTCTTTACTTTAGTCAAAAATATAAACAAAAAAACTTGGAAGAAGGTTTCGCGGTAATACAGGATTAGGATGATATCTAGTCGGCTTAGAAATATATGAAAAAAGTGACGAAGCATGTACGTGTGTTTGTATCTGCGTGTGAAAGAAAAGGAGAGCGGAAAAGAGAGAGAAAAGGAGAATGAAAAAGTGTAGGAAACTGATTGTGAGTGAAAATTGGACGATAAATATAATTAAAGTATTGGTTAGATATTTTAAAATAGTTTCGGAAAATTTCTCAACGTATTTTCTATCATATAATATATTATTTGAATTATTTAATAATCGATTGTTTTATTTTGTTTGAACATTACACCGCTTAGTAAATGATCTTTCTATACATATCTATTGTGCAATTATATTTGACTAAATTGTTTTGTAGATTTTTATTTATTTAAATTATAAAAATTAATCAAAAATATTCTCAATTGATTTATATTTTAATATAATTTCTATTTTTCTTTTTTTGCTACTATTTCAATATTAATTCACCTGGTAAAATAGTTTAAGCGTGAAAATTTAAAACTGTCTGATATGTAAACGTATTAATTAAAAGTGTTCGTTAAAATTTATTTTATATATTTTGTTTGTACTATCGAGACATAGAATACGGTTATAAATTTTTAGAAACTATTTTAGAAATAGCCGTGTGTAAAGAACAGCTGAGAGCAAAGAGGATTATCAAACGAAGATCGATAGATCGAAACGTACTTTTCCTAAACGAAGGGATTAACCTTTTCGTAAAAATGGCGAGTCGATATCCGTTCTCTTTTAGGAGTGTGTTACGAGCGACGGAATATGGGCGCGATTTTCCGTGCGCGTTGGTAGAAAATAAATAAATAATAAAAAAGAAAAACGGAATAAATATATATATAAAAACAAAAAAAAAAAAAACAAAAAAAAAAGAAAATAAACTATAAAAAGAATAATCAGAAAAAAAACGTACAACCGATCGTGGATCGATCGTTGCCGAAGTTTTAAAGCAGGTTGCGCGTGGATATGCACACCAGTGGAACCCACTACGATGCCTCAAGAATATATTTATTATCGAACATTTCATGAGATAATGAACTGTCGGGAGAGATATATAAAAATAAAGTACTGTCTTTATTCACGTTGTTTCAACGTTTTTTTTATCTGCTTTCTTTTCCCCTTCAAAATTTAATCCTTTCGTCGATAAATTTTTCTCCCATTTTTTTCGTATGAGAACAACATACAAAATTCTTCTCATAATTACTTTTACTTATATACATATGTTACGGTCAATGTTGTAATATGGACATTATATATATTGTTCGGACAACATATACAATGTCCAATCGAGTAGGATATTGTGTAGATTGTTTGATCAATCTCTATAATGTCCAGAGAGTTTTGCTCAATTTAACATGTATGCTTCGATTGGCTGTGTTTAGAGCATGACGGGGGAGGGAACAATGTTTACACCCATGTAAGTGAAACAAAGCATGGAAATTTAAAAATGTATAGACAATGTTAGTAACAACCTTCGGTCAATGTATAAAATGTACTTAGTGGGGTCTGTTTAAAGGGGCAGGGTAGGAAGGGTAATGTATACAATGCCCTTAGTAATATAATATATTGTCCGTAACATATATATATATATATATTTATAAATTTAGTGATTTTGAGAAAATGATATTTAGTTCCTATGAGTAAATTATTGTTTTTATCGTATACCGAGATAATACTATAATAACAGAGTATCTATAATAAAAGGCTTAAGTTTTTTTTTTTTTTAAATAGAAATATAACATTAAGCTTCGATTCGAGTTTTGTTTTATTAAAAAAAAACATAGTCACGATAGCTCGATATAACAAGAAATTCGATGAAAATTCTTAAATATAAGGGAGTAATAGTGATCGAAAATGCATTTTAATAAATCTTTGTTTTTTTTCTTTTTCATTTAGGTTGATATAAAAAAAAAAAACACGTAGATATCTACGTTATTTATAAATGTATAGAATTAATAATGCAATTAATAATCTCTTTTCTCCATAGACGCGAACCATTTAATTTTGAGATGCTCTTACGATTAAACTAGACGGTATAATGGCAATGCGGCCTACCATGTAAGGGATACCACATTATTGTCTAATAGTAAAACCCGCAAGTGGTCGTACATTCCTACGATAAGACCCTCTATCCTATCTGCGGCTTGCCACAATATTAAATCTTCGATTAAGTAAGTGAGCCGCTTTTCCATGAGAAAGTATTTTAAAATTTTCTTTTTAAACTAAATACTTCTCTTTAATCCTTTGCACCCCTTGTATATTTTTACTTTTAACCCCATTGAAAGCAATTTTCATATAAAAAATTATTTTTGTATATCAATATACGTATACAGACGTGTAAATATTAATAATGAACAGCAATTACTTCATATAAATATATTTTGTTTAATATCATTAACATTGTTTAATAATAATAATATTAATAATAATAGTAACATTGCATATTTAATGGCAAGATTTCGAATGTTTTTGAGTGCAAAGGATTAAACAACTGAACGATTTATTTTGTTGTTATTATTAGCATAAATAATCGAAATATTCTTTTAAATTAATAACGTACGTTAATATTGATACGATTTATAAGTATAGATTTTATACAGGATGATAATAAAGTTGTTTAGATTTAAATAATGAAGAATTTCTGTAAATATATTACGGTGTAGTTTTTGAATTATAGTCAATTTGATAAATTCGTTCACATTTTTCCTTGTTGCATATCAAACATTTTTGATTTCTATATAATTATAGATAACACAAACGTGGTAAATAATGGATCATAAAATATTCGTTTATATATAAACTTACATTAGTTTCATTATTTCAAGCCAAACGATAAGTCTTAAAAACATTAGCTAACTTTTTATCAACACTGTATAAAAGGCACTACTGAATCACGTTTTTTTCGATTTTTTGTGAATGTCTATGTTCGCTGATCGATTAATCAGCAACGTGGCGGAGATTCTTCTTATTTTATAGGAAGGTGCTCCAATAAACGACGTTCAGGATGAAAAATGAGAAGGGGAAGAAGAATCTGGAGACTTTGTCGATGTAAATTGCCGTCGCCCTACCTTGACAGCAAGTATCGTACTGGACGGTAGGTGGCCTTACGGGACTTCTGCTTCTCTCGGAATCGGGCCTCATCGGGGTCTATAAAATATTATAAGATATTATAGATTTTACAATTAGATCAAACCAAATGTAATTAGAGTAGTTTTAAAATGAATGAAAATATTAATACGATTCTTGTTGGATTAATTTCTACTGATTTTCTATTTGAGCCGCATGGGTCGTATACGGTTCACATATAAATAGCGAACATTTCAAATGATTTGAATTGAAAGTTAAAAAAATAAGCATATTTTCGTCCCATGTGGTACGCAACGTGTTAAGCAGAATTGGGTCTAAACTAAAGTACTACGAAAAATACCGGTTTAGGAAGGTAATGAATTTGAGGTACCAATATCGTTAAGAAATATAATAGTATTAAAAAGAATCAGAGGGTTCAAATGTTGATGGTACGAGCAGTATCTTCCCCAAAACCGTACTTTAAGAAGCAATATTTTCGATTTGCTTTTTCTTCTCTAATTATGTTCTAAAAATTAAACTGAGATTTAAAGTACATATATATTCATAGTATGATACATTTTGTTATCAAGGCTTCAATTTTGATCTATCTTTGTTATATAAGAACAAATTTGAAGAAAGTTTGAACAATTGATTATAAGTAAAAGAACCCATGAATTTCTATCTAGCAAATTTTATCGTCTTAGATTGAAAAAGGTGCCGAAACGAAGCGGAAACAAACGATTCTTCGATTCTCCAACAAAGTTTTAGGCAAGAAACGTTTTAACTTGAAAATTCTTGATGCAAAAAGTTTCTTGAAAAGTATACTCGTAAAGTCCGAAATGTTGATTCGTAACGTAAAATTTTCAATCGTTGATTTTCTACTACTTTCCTATTGTACTTTATAAAAAAAGATATGAATAATTATGTAAATATAGGAATATTGTGTTATATCCTGTCTTTAGAATATATCCGAAGATAGATTTAATTACGATATCGGGACTATACTTCGAGTTTCTCTAATGGAGAAAGGCGTAGAGATATTTAAAGGGAATCAACAGTCTCGTTAACGAGAGCCTTTGCACGTGAAACACGAACGATCTATTTGCGCGAGAGTGATGTAAATAATCATGCCTTCCTGAGAGAATTACCGGAGTTTACAAACGTGTTCGTGCTCACGTAAACGTAATGCAAAGATATCTATACGCTTGACATATTTTGCGATACGTATATTGCAAATAATAATTTACGAGAAATTTTCAATAAAAATTGTAATAAATATATTCACTGTTCTTCGTTCGTTAGAGATCGAAAACGCTTAATAATAACAATTTGTATGATCTTTCAAAGTTCTTTCCTCTCTCTCTCTCTCTCTTTCTCTATCTATCTCTCTATCTTACTCTCTTTTTTTTTTTTTATCTATTTATGAGAATATAAAGTTGCTCGTAGCTATGAGAGACGGGATAAGAGTTTTAACAAAGCTGACAACAGTCTTAAAACTTTCCACTTGTCGCTCCTTTTTTTTTTTTTTTCCTTTTTTACCCAAAGTGCTCTCGATCATTCTACGGATAATTTTCAAGAATTCAGTGAACAATATTCCTTCGTAACTCAAGTACAAAAACAACTCGTGAAAATTTATATATCCATTTATAATCGAGGATGCTCTTCAGTTCCTTAAATATACTTTTTAGTTTGTTCAATAATATTTCGGTTATGTTTAACAAAATGAGTATTTTTTAAATGTGTTTCACATAACTGATGACAGATTATATTTATCGTTTAAAGAAATATTTTCTAATAGTTAATAAGGAATAAAAAGAATAAATAAAAAATAAAATTCATAATAATTGTTATCCAAGAATTTCGTAAACATAAAATTGTAAAAGAGATATAAATATGTAAATAATTAATGAAATATGTGTGTGGAAATAAAGTGAAACCTTAAATTCATCGATAGCTTCCCTAAGATCCTCATCGGAGTAGCCTTTCATGGCTTTCGTTGCAACAGGACCCATGTAATTATTGACTACGGCGAATTCCATAAGAGACAGGAATACAAAGACGCTGCACGATGACATCCATACGTCAATGGCTTTCACATACGAAACGGGTGGTAACGATTGTTGAGACTGTGTATTCTGAGTTGCTATAAATATAAGTATATACATTTTGTTTCTTTGTTCACGATTATTCAAGAAGAGAGATATTATTTTAATAAAACAAAAAAAAAACGAAATGTTTGTTGAATACGAGATTACTTTTACATTTTTAATTATAATGAATTATATTAATAAAAGATCTACAATATAAACGTATTCTATAATTTGAAATCTTGTAATATTTTATGAGTATGCACAACTAATTATTCAAGTACGAGAAATATTTTTTCTTTGAATGTAATATATATAAGTTAAAAATTAAAAAATATTTTGTATAAATTATATTTTGTATATGTTTGTGTATGAATAGTATATCTTATAAAAGATTATATTAAAAGAACATCGTCCTCTCGACATCCCCGATATTAAATAACGAGAATGATTCATCATGTATTTAATTAAGGTAATCTTACCAAGTGTGAGGAGTGATGTTACGCCAAGCGTAACACGAGCTGGAATTGCTTCAGGTTTGATCCAGAAGGCAATCCAGGACATTACAACGATAAGGGCTGAAGGTATGTACGTATGAAACAGGTGGTATCCTAATCTTCTTCTTAGATTAAAAACGATCTGAATGCACGTGAAGTTTCCAGTTGAATACTCGATTGTACAATCGGTCGTATAGTTGTTCGATATATCCAGCTGTGGCAGTTCAATTTCGGGATTTACTACTAACGGATCGGTCATGTTCCATATGAAGACCAAATCTTGCGTCGTATGTGATACTGCAATGTGTAATAATATATATTCTTTTACACATAAATGAAAATAAATCATTTCTATAGATTGAAATTAATGTTAAAGATGATTATACGAACAGCTTTCTATCATCATTGAACAAATTTGAGTATCATGAGGATAAGATTCGAACTTCATCGCACAAGAGAGTACCAGAGTCAACCTATAAATTATTACAAAAATAAATATAAATAAATATGAAATATATTTAAAGGATAATTTTAAAATAGGATACTTACTTGGACATGTACAGTAATGTTTTATCGTGATAAAGCCAAAGATAATGATTCGGTATGGACATTTCGTGAAAAGTAACTTTTTTCGCGTTCTTGAAAAAACAATCCGGTCTCCAAATATTGTTCAACCAATCAACGTCCAATATTCTGTACTCTTCCGACATATTCTCTGGTAATCTTAATCTAGAGTCACGCCAGCTTTGAGCCAAAAAAATATCAGCGACGTAGGTCTGCGAAAAGAAAACAAATTATTAAATACAACACAAAATTCATTTTCGAATAAATAAAAAAATTGTAAGCAAGGTTTGGGTTAACGTTAGAGATTAATTTTTATTTTAAAATAACGCTCATTAGAGACGCAGAGTAATTTAAATAGAAAAATATTGTTTCCCTTAAGAGGAAGAGAAGTAAATTATTTGAAAAATGAAATTGCATTCGTTAAAATGAAATGCTTTCGTGTTAAAAAGTTAAATAAAATAATAACTGTAGAATTAATGAAATTATTAATTATACAATTTCTAAAAGATATAAAATATATATGATTTGTTCATTATACTTGTTAATAGCTCAAAACTGTAAATTTGATTGAAAGTTTCTCTCGTGAACGATACAAGTTATTTCTTTTTTGTCAGTAAGTTATAATCGAAAAAGTCGAAAAAAAAGGTTCATTAACGATCATTATTGAATGTGACACTTGTCGAGATTTATTTATAGGGCGTTTCTTCTTGTTTTTCTTAGAATATAATTTAATTATTTTCTATTGATTATAACAAACTCACCATAGATTCTTCGTTAATAGAATCTAGGCTGAGAACGGTGACGTGAAAATAAACGATGGTAGGTTGTCCCAAAAATTTCGGTGCTCTGTGCTTGTCGTATTGCTTCGGATTTATCGGTAGGATGTCTCTTAACGATAAAGATGCCTCTTTTCTACCGTAATCCTCTTGGTCGGCTTCTCTGAAGATTAAAAAGAGAAAAGAAAAAGGAGGAAAGATGCACTCGAGCTTATTTCTTCTCTTCAGCTTTTTCGTTAGGTTAATACATATAAAGTGTAACTAGTAACCAAATGAATTTTCGTGTAAAAGTAAGATACGTGCATTGTGCATTAACGGTAAATACCTGAGCGAGGGACATGCATAAGCAAATCTTGTGTGGAAGAAGAAAAAAATGTATTTTTCTTTTCTTTTTTTTTTTTTTTTAAATTAGCTCTCGAAAAGAAGTCTGGAAAAAGTATAAGCGAGTGTAAAATATTGCCGCGATTCCGATGAAACAGCAATATCGTAGAAGCCATAATAGGTCTTCGTGCTTGGCACACCTTTAAGTTTAACCGAGATAGATAGATGTGTTCCTTACATGCAGACGTTTTAATATGCCTAATCTACGACCTCTGTCTTATATGTATGTCTTATATGTGTATATGCTATTTCGCAATATCTATACCAATCGCATTAATATAATTGTGGTCACACCTCGATGCGCTTGTTCGTTTGGATAAGTTATCTTTTAGAAGATATTTATTTGTTTAATAACTTCTTCTTCTTTTTTTTTTTTAAATAATATATATATAATTATGATCGAGCGAAATTCGTAAGATTCTGCTAACTTATTCGTTCTTAATTATATCGCATATTATAGAAAATACAAATATATGTATTGAACTTGATATTAGAAGATTTCTAAACGTACAATCTAAATTCAATCGAATTTTATAATATGATTGAATAGTAGATTCTTTTATTCGGGTCTATTCAAACAGACTAACGTCAAACCGAATGTCTTATTCTTCTGTGAAACCTAATCAAGCCGATAATCCATAGCGAAACTTCTGAGAGTAAGTTCTTGCCATTTTTATCATCGTCTTTTTTTTATCTCTTCCGTATAATCATTTCTTTTGTGTGTGTTTTTTTTTTTAACTATTTCATATTCGATTTGTGATCAGTAATTTATAGTAAAATGTATACGTCAAAAAATTCGAATGAGTGTTTTAAATGGAACAGAGATCGTACTTTTGGATGATATCGATCATTATAGATGCGTTACCTTTCGATCTTGGGAAAAAACCGGTACCCGCGCTTTCTCGCCGAAAGTCGAATTGTACTAGACGATAGGCTATCGACTTTAATATGCCACCCTTCGACCTCCGTGGAAAGAACCGGTTCACATACTTTCTCGCTGAAACTCGACACAGTGGGAGGTGATGGTGGGGTAACATATTTCGTCGTCATTCGTGCAAAAAGAAATGAATAAATATATGACCAATTCGTTCTAATAAATTAATGAAAATAATCATTTGTCAAATTATCCTTTTAACAGAATGACGACGATGTCTGATAAGTGTTACCTCACGATAATCTCGAAAAAAGGAAGGATAGATTTCCTATGATTATATTGTTTCATATTTTTGATACTTAACCGACAAAATTATCGCGTTTGACACGTGTTAAAGTTACACTATTATCGTTTTCCAATTTATAAATCACATAAGTTCTCGTATATATCGTTTGTAACGTTAATCGGGAAATCTCCTTTCTCTTGTTTTCTTTTTCCAGAAAAAGTAGCCCTATTGAGAGAATTCTTCACTTAATTATTTCTTCAATGTACTCACGGAAAATGTAAGGCTGCCATGTCAAACAGCGTGTACAGGTAGCAGCATAGGATCACCAGAGAGTGTCTCGTCATTCCTAAAACACGAAACGAGAAAGTTAATGCGAAAAATTGTTCGAAATAATTTGAAAAAAAAAAGAAAAAAAAAAGAAGAAAGATATGTGTTATCTTTTAATTATAACGTGATCGATTAATATTTACATTAACGATAACACATATATATCTCCACATGCAACACACATACATATACTTACTTACATTGTACATCTTTAAAATTAACGAAGAGTACTTACCGAACAGCTGCACATTCTATCGTGCCGATTTTCCTCACCCAATCCACTGCGTCCTAATAGTAGTAGTAGTAGTAGTCGTCGTCGTCGTCTATATTTAAATCGAGGCTCGCACAGCCAATCCAGATCGCAAACACTTTTGGTATTCGTTGTTAAATTGAGGAACCCTTTCGTATATACGTTTGACGACGTTGTCACGAGGATGAGTTACAACAGCAACGTTGTTTTCTCACATAAGCGATCGAAGGTATGAGCGAGTTACCGATCGAACGATCGTCGATCCGAAGTCGGTCCAGTTTGTCGCGAAAGATCATCGATCTCTAAGTACAATGGTGACAAACTTTAGACACAATTCACTGGATACTCTCGTCTCCTTTGATAGCAATAGCAATAGTATTTTGTTGTCATCGCACGTGGCTGCCAGATTACGTACACCAAATATTCCGCTATATTCCTATATTTTTGTGTTTTTTTTTTTTAATTTATTTCGGGGGAGTTTAACGTTGTACGCGGAATTATTCACTGCAGCCCTTCTTTATTATTTCTCTCATTCTCTCTTTTCCTCGCACGATTCCTCGACGAAACCCCTGGAACGACGATCGAGGACACGCAACTGTCGTTCTCTCGTCGTTATCGTAGAACTTGTCGATCGTTTTACGGAAAACCGAAGAATAGTGGTAGAGAGAGAAAGGGATAGAGAGATAGAGAGATAGAGATAGACAGGAATAGTAAGATAAAGAGAGAGAGAGAGAAAGAGAGACAGTTGGTTCACCACTCAACCACTGGCCACTGCACGGGGGTTGCTGCTTCTGTAAACCACCCGGTCGGTTGGTGTCTTTAAGCCAATTTGCCTATCGACTAACTGATTAAGCCCTACTCGTCTCTTTCATCGATACAAGAGAGAGAAAGAGAGAGATAGAAACACGGCCGTTATATTGTATGTTTGTATATGTGCATTTGTGTGTGTGAGTGTGTATGTGTGTGGGCGCGCGCGCGCCTCCGTCCAAGGGTTGCGCCTCTGTGTATGTGCCTGTATTTGTGTGTTCGGCCATTTTGCGTGAAACTTCTCGTTGTTCACGTCGTTGTACCTATACGTGTGTCCCCGTAGCAAAAGAAGCTGCTGTTGAGAACACGAGAAATGACCGAGGCCGATACTTTGGCAATAGTGTCTTCAACTTACACATCTTTCCCTCTTTTATCCTCGACATATGCCGTAGACTTGCGCGCGAGTGTATTTCTCAGGTTATTTCAGGTGTATGCATTCGACACGGTTACATTTTCCTCAGTCTAATGAGATTCTCTATCCACGGAAAACGAACGAGATCGTGGCTTTCTCTCTCTTTCTCTCTCTTTGTCTCTCCTTTTTCTTTTTCTCTTTTTTATTCTGATTATTTGTTATTTTGAATATTAATTTTTTTTTTTATATCATTATGCTGTATGCTATTTATAAATAACAATTAATATATGTCTTGCTTTCTCTTTTTCTTTCAATCTTTTCGCACGAAATGAAAGAAAATATATTGAATTTATGTAAAAAAAAATTATATATGTTAGAATAATTATAATTGGAAAAAGTAAAAAAACACGAGGGGTGATGTATTTTGTTTCTTGTCAAAATATACGAATAAATAAGAAAATTTCGAAAAATCGTTAAATATTCATTGTAAAATCGATCATATCTTTTCAGATATGACGAATTGAAAAAAATAATCCTACGAAATCATTATCGATAATATAAAAGGACAGATATTTGATCGATTTATCGTTGAATAAAAATGCGAGTTGAATGGTCGTTGGAATTGTGGATGGAAAATGAGGTTATTTGTCGAAAAGTATCACACCAAGTATGTGACTTAATTGTGTACTATATAAGAAATATTTTTGCTCTCTGTCGAATATCATTAACGAGTGCTTTCAATTTTCGTCATATAACAAATTTATCTCGAATTTATTATTCTCATAGTAAAATGTGTATGCTTTTATTCTTATAAATGTTATGCACTATTTCGAAAAATTGTCACACATAAGCAGATTTTATCTCAATACAATCATTGACAGGTACGTATGATGAAATTTCAGTCCATCGTTAAAGTTATTTATCAAAAAGAAAAAATTAAAAGAAGACAAAAAATTAAAGGGAGTAAGATTTGATACAATATGTGGGTAAGAAGAGCGTAGCTAATATGTATCAGTAATCCAATTATTTTCGCGGGAGGTGTTTTGACAGTTCATATACTTAAGCGAAATGGTGCAGGCTAAGTTCGAAGGCTGAAATACGCTTTTAAATCCTCCCTAGCTCGTGTAGTCGAGAGGTATAAGTGGGGTTAAGCTGGTGTGGTCGTGAGGTCGTGTCAAACACGATTGTGCGAGGGAGAGAAGCAGAGAAGAAGATAAAAAGAAAGAAAAAGAAAGAGAAAATTATAGATCTTGTTTCTTCTATATTTGCGTCTATATCTATATATATATTACGGTCAATGTATATGTTTCGGATACTGTATAGATTGTCCGAGGCATTCTAAAGAATCGCCACTAAGATTGGTCGATGTAATTTTGAGCATATTTTTCATTGTCCGGTTAATCTATAGAATACCCAGAGGGTTTTGGTCAATCTATAAAATGTGCTTTTTAAGTTTTTATTTTAAGCTTTGCAAGTTTGTTTTACTTACAATATATTAATATTACTTTACCCTTCTCCTACCATGCTTTAAACACATCCCAAAATTTTAAAGATTGACCAAAATCCTTTGGGCATTTTTGTATATTGATCGGGCAATCTATAGAATGTCCTACTAGATTGAGCATTGTAAATATTGCTCGCAATAATACATTGACCGTAACATATAGTATAGTGATACACGTATAGTAGATAAAAATAGATATATAGAGATGAAAGTAGTCGTAAAAAAAAGTGGGAGGTTGGTGTTTACTTGCGTGCGCATATTCCTCGTTTACCCGTTAACTTCTTTCACGGTTGATCCTAAGCAATTAGCGAGACAATTTAAAAAAAAAGAGATCACTGGGAGGCGTACTCGCGTACTCGGCTTTTATATGCGATTGCATGTAGGCCAACCAACCAACCCCAACCAAACAACTAGTCGTCTTGCATCGTACATAAGTAGGAAGATGATTTCTTTATAATTGCATATGAACTCGAGTATAAAAATCTGGGTTGCTTTTATTCAAATGCATCACGTTCATGCACCTCTGCTTAATGTTTATAATATACGCTCGTTTTACGATTGTTATTAACATTTTTTTTTATTTATTCTATTTTACTTTTATTAATACTACCTGTTTATATAGAATCTAAGAAAAATGTGAACGTATAGTGCTTAAACTTATTTAAAGCTTTTAATAAGATAAGAAATATATAAAACATTAGTTGTTCTGAATTTTATGATATTTTAATAGATATATTTTAAAGTAATTTCAAAATAATAAATATATATGAGAAAATAAGGAAAAATTTTAATAATATTGTAATGTTTAAATATTGTTTATTCAAAATTGTAATAATATATATATATATATATGGTATATATGTAAATACTGTGCATTTATTAGATATGTAGAATAGTAATGAAACGACATGTGTAATACTTTTTACTATAAGCAATATTAGTATTAAGTAACGAATTATATTTTTTTTACAGAAAGAACGATACATTTTTAATGCAATGTATTTTCCAAAAAAGAATTAATATAATAATGCATAATTATTTATTATTTGGAAAATATTCTAAGGAAAATATTTATGAAATTTTACGTCCGGAACTTTGTATTAAAATAATAATTTGTTTGTTATATTTTTTTAAATATATTTTTTTTGTGTCGTTACCATCGCTTTAGAAGTTTCACTTCAAAAACATGGTTTTTTCAAATAAATATTATAATGTATATTATTTTGTCATTGTAAATTTGACAGAAAAGAACAATATGAATTCAAGGATCATGTTTCAAGGATCTAAAATCATGTATTATAATTTCACAGGCCCGTAAGAGCCCAATCATTTATTTATCAACGCCTCGGCAACTCGTAGTCATCTGTATAATAATTTTTAACAAGTATTCGCTGCTTTATCAATCTTTCTTTCTTTCTTTCTCGCGCATTTTCTCGCACACTCACGCGTTCTTTAAATAATAATATATCGTACATGTTCACATTCACATAGTGGTATATCTATCTTTCGCCTATTCGTTTTTTCAATCTGTTATTTTTTTTTGTAGATTTCTAATCTCGCTTTTTTTTTGCAATTTCCATTTCTAACCAGATTTTTCGAGTGCACTTTGACGTATTTTTGGGGATTTTTATTTTTATATTATTTTTCTCTTAAATGACACTGGAAGCGTTCCAAAATTTTTCTTTTTTCCTTTTTTTTTTTTTTTTCTTTTGTTACATTCACCTTCTTCCGATCGACATATGTGTGTACATGTACATCGACGGTAGGTACTCGAACGTTTCGTGTATTTAATAATTAGTTTATTAGGTACGTATACCTATTGTGTATGTGGTATTATATATTATGTATAATATGTATATATACAGTCAACGTTACATCGGATTTAACTCTACGGGTGATTTAAAAATCGAAGAGATTCTTAGGCAAAGACGGATTCACGTATGTATGTTCTTTTCTCTTCTCTCTGAGTGAATCTTTTCTATTGGACAATACTTTTCTTATAAAATCCATTCTATATATTAATCTATTGCGATAAAATAAGAATGGAAATTTATCGGCTAACTAATTTTACTCGTAGAGCATATTAAATCGAATTAGAATTATTTCTTTCGTAAATCTTCAAAAAAAGAATTAGTATAAATTTGAATACAGAGAGAGAGAGAGAGAGAGAGAGAGTATCGCGATTATAATCACATTAATTTAACAATTGTTTATTGACAACAATAACGATACATTACTCAGGACAGCCAAGATATAATGCGATCGATATTTCATTTTCTTTTTTTTTTTTTCTTTTTTTTAATATAATGAAATATATAATTAAAACTTTTACACGCGTTCGTATCTTTAATTTAATAGTCTCTTACTCTTTTTATTTTTCCAAAACGAATAACAAAGTTTTCGCACGTAATTCTTTTTTTGTGTCTGTTTTTTTTTGTTTCTTGTTTCTTTTTTTTTTTTCATTCTTATATAAATCCGGTTGCCGACTTTGCCCGACTCTCGAATAATCGCTCATCTATACAAGATTAGGAGCGATAGCGAGCACACGTTATAATGAGTACCAGAGTCGTTTAGGAAGGTTCAAGCATGCTTATAGCAGTGCGCTACTTACGAATATGTTTACAGATAAGATAGTCTTGTAGTTTATAATACACATTACACGCGTGGCCGGGGTCAGAGTGTTTTTTAAGTAATAAAAAATATGTACATATATGTTTATGTATATGTTATATATATATATATATATATATATAGTATTATATATAGATATATGCATATTTATATGCTTCGCGTATTTTATACGTGTGGTATATTATGCGTATGTATATATGCACATTTAGTGTACGCGTTTTTGCATGTATATAGGTGTGGGTGTGTTATGTAATTCACGAGTTGAGCTTTCACGTTTTGTTCTGTTTAATCGACGGAACATCTTTTTTATAAAATCATCATCATTTCGATCAAAAACGTACTAAATATGGAATTTTACAAGAATTTTTCTATAAAGACGTTAACAAATTTGTAGTGTAGTGAATTTTTAAATAAAAATATTGAAAATAGATATTTAAACATCTCCTTCGACGAGACGATCTAGATAACAAAATTCTGCCAGACTGACGTATGATAATCGTTACTTATTCACGAGTTTACGTATTTGTTTCGTCGGTAAGGCAGAAATTTATAAAAGGGTGAACTTATTATCTAGAAAGGGTTGTAATATTCTAAAAACTTACTAACGCTTGCAGCTCGTGGAAAATAGAGATTTCTGACCCTTGCCACAAATGTTACCATAGTACGATAAAATGATTCGTTTGCTAGTAGTTTCGATAATTACATATGTGACTCAACATTATTAATTAACGAAAATGTGTCGCTGTATAAATCCTTTTTTTTTTTTCTTATGGATATGTAATATTAAACGAGTTACAATAATGCACATCGAGTTTCACGTTTTGTTTTTTTATCCTTTGCCTTGTTCATCCCTTTATATCTTTTTTTTTTTTTAATATGTTAAAACATGTTACATGTTAACATGTTAAATTAGGCCAGACATCCAAATGCAATTATTATTAAAATAGCTCTTAAGTATTTGCAACGCATTTTGCAAACGAATCATTCTTTTTTATTTATATTATTATTTTTTATTCATTGTATCTTTGTTATTTGAAAAAAGCTTCGAAAAAACTCAATCTATGTGAAACATAGAGTAAAATCGCGCATTGGCTAGCCTTTCTAAGAGGCCTTGATATGTTCAATTGGAACCACTGTAGTTTATTATCGCATCGGTTTCATCACCGTTGCTCTGTTGTGTTTGTGTCTCTCTCATTTTCTTGAATTTTATTCTTTGTTGTTCTTGCTTTTTGGCTTATTTTTCGCTTAGTTTCTCGAGTAAATTAATGGAAGAGACAACTTATTATCAAATACGTAACATTGCGCTTTCAACGATCGCTTAATTGTGTGCTTTGTAAAATTTCTTGTAAATAATCTTTCTCAACTACTATATAAGAAATATTTCATCTTTTCGGCATTCTCACGAAGCTCGGATATGATCAAATTTGTTTTCAAATATTAACTTAAAAATTTTCTTACTTCTTATTACTTTGGCTGGCACATAAATTTAAATACAGGATGGATTATTATTTCCTAAGTGATTTTAAAAAATCAATCTTTTTCGAGATTTTTTAGCCTGCTATTTGTAGATCGTAAAAAAGTTTCTTCCTTGCGTAAGCTTATGGTTTTACAATCTAAAAAAAAAAATGGAGTCTAAGAAATTTCGAAAAAGAGAATTATATTAATTTTTAAAATCACTTCGAAACTTATTAGCAACCTTGTACAAAAGAAGTAAGATTATAGAACGCTAAGTATGCAGTTTAGGCCAGAGATTTTTCGCTTAAGAATCTCTTGCAATCAAAAGTGTTTAATTATTAAGAATTAAAAAAAAAGGAAAATAAATGGTGTTTTTTTTTCAAAATCCAATAACGATAAACGACAAAAAAGCGTATCGTTTCTGCTTCGTGAAAATAGCTCATGTTACTTCGTATATCGTTAACAGAGATACCTCGCTTTGTTTAATTAACAAATAGCATTATCAAGTACACTGTGGTATAATGCGATTATCTTATTTTGTACGAGTAAATATATAAGATAAAACTACTATACAGTTCTACTATATAACGAGTGAACGATTGTTCAAAGAAACGTTGAATGATAGAAAATAAAAATGATTAATTAATCTCAGTGGACACAATGTAGTAGGATCTTTCGATGTCGTGTTTTGCTTGAGCTAAGTGAAACATTTTCAAATTGTATTTGAATGCGATGATCAAAGACAACGAAAATTCGATATAATACTTGCCCTTTTATTTATTTATTTTTTGTTTGTTTGTTAAAAGGTTCAAGCATATCTATGCTTTTTTAAACTATTGTAAAAATATGTGTTCAACAACAATTCAGCGGTTAATTACAACACGAACGAGCTTTTTGTTTCACCGGCCTTTATTATTTACGCGTGTTATTTTATTTTTTTTTTTTTCGTTTATTATTTTTTACGAACGCACGTTTGGTCATTCCAAAATGGATCGTTTTAGACGATTGTTCGGATACCAGCCACGAAATTTTTATCTATTTAACACGTACGCAAATATTTTCTTCGCGTTGTATTTGGATGTATTTATGTGTAACCGTGTGTATGTATACATAACATGAGACTTACACATTCTATTCTTTTGAGCAATGTGTTAGTGGATCATAAACTTTATACATTATTGCTTTTCCGATAGCCACGTCACGTACATTCAATCTCGCTCGCGTTCATCCCAGCTCTCTTCTCATCAAAATCAACGCATTGAGCCTGTCGAGTAGATTGCAATATTGTGCCGTGCATTGTACTCGATTACAATTACAACCTATATATCTATATAAAACAGAAGAATACGTCTTTAACGCTTTTCCTTGTATAAATTAATTATTAATGCATCGAGATAATTCGATTAAACGTTTTTTTTTTTTTTATAAATTACTACCCCATTGATTATCTATAAATAATGAAACATCTCTCTTAACGAATGTATAACTCGGTGATTGCTTAAAATTGAGATAATAAAATGATCAAATAAAAAATTATTAATCAAGTCTTTGTGCATAGGGTTTTTCTTATATATATATAGTTGGGATGATCGGGAGTAGAATAATATTTTTCTATCGCATACATTCACATATTCTCCTTTGCATCAAATATATGCCAACACGATTGTACACATAATTAGTTAAGTTTCTAAATTTACGAATTCTTCATAATAAAATTAACGTTTTACTACAGCGCAGAGTATTCATGTACAAACGGTATTATATCGATGTTTGTCAACTGGGATACTCGCATCTATGCTTTCGTCGATGGTTTCATTCCTTAGCTGTATTAATTTGCATACTTATATTCAATATATGTTTATAATAATAATAATAATAATAATAATAATAATAATAATAATAATAATATATATTTTTTTTTGTATATATGTATACTTTGTTTATATATAAGTGGATTCTTTTTCTTTTTCTTCCTACATCGTGATTTCATCAATCTTTTTGCTTTTTTTAATCGTTGGATATAGCAAATTCTCGCATTATTTATTAGTGTCACACATTGGATACAGCAGCTTAGGAAAGTTGGATCCACCATTTTGAGAATAATGATTATTCGGTACTTAAAACGATGGTTTTAAAATTACCATTCGTATTACAATCCCAATAACTTCTCTTTGTATTTACGTCGTAGCTTTTCTACTTCTATTTTTTACATCTTTATTTAATATCTATATTAACAATCTATAATTCGATCTAAATTATTCGGAATCTCATACGATTGGCCTGAAAAAACGCGTCATTTTTCTTTCAGGTATCAACTTTAACAAACACACCTAATGGTCCAGTATGGTAGGAGATTTCCGATTAATTCATTATACATATTAATAATATTAGTGCTAGTCATTTACAGACTCTCCATTTCTTTCTCTCTCTCTCTCTCTCTCTCTCTTTTTTTTTCTTTTTCTTTCTCTTTTTAATTCATTCAATTTATACACGCGAAGTCATTCCAGGCAATTGAGAATCGTGCTTGATTTTATTTCCGATAATAACACAAAATCGTTTATGATTACGATAAAGGATTTATCGAAATTTTCATTCATAAAGCAGAGCTTGAATTCTATTATCATGTTGTAGTATTATTTTATTTGGCCAATACGAATATCGCCACATATGATGTTATATTTAACCAAGATCATTTGGAAGAGATTGAAATATCGTCGCCGGTCCAGCAGCAAACGAACTATGGTATTATATTTGGATTTATGCTCATTTTTTATATATATACGTGGATAATACTTTTTATTGAACGTAAAATATATTATATATATATATATATATATATAAAAAAAAGCACGTTTCGTATCGAGGCCGAAAAGGTAACTCCAGCTGTTTCTGTATGTTCGATTTTGTGACAATGTATCTATAAGTCGATTTTGCTATTCTATTTTCTTTTCGATCAATATCTTTGAGAGATCCAACGGGAACAAAAATAGACGTCGAGGAGAAACGTAAAGAAAGAAAATAAACTTTTTCCCCATCTCTTTTTTGTCGTATTCCTTTTTACATCACGTAGGTATACTTCGCTAAGACATTTTTCTTATTACGATCTTGCTGTAATACCACCACGTATACGATATTTGTTTGTCCATAATCTACTACATGGAAAGTTCCTTTGCTTGGCTTTCTATATAGTATCATTTCGATTCTCGATTGTAGGAACAAGTTTGGATAGTCAGACAAATAGCGATTTTGTATCTTTTTAGGAAAAGACAAATTAAACTTTTTTTTGCATAAACACACACATACACGCACACATACAAACACACACCCGTGTACGAACGTACATATGAGTGTACATTATTTTTCATTCTTTCCTTATATCTCATAATTCTTTTCGACACTTTTTCATGTCCCTAGATCGTCGTTGATATTTTAAACACTCGAAAGCTCGAGGTTCTTCTTCCCCTACTCGTTTCGGATAAGTAACTTTATCCGTGTCACGAATCGTTGACGAGATACGTCGAAATAGACGTGAGAATGTTGCACGCTAGAACCACGAGTATGAGGATTAAACTCGATGACCTTGACACGCTTCTACCACCGTTGCTATAGGGTAATTTAACCGCAACCTCGGCCATCTTGAATATTGAGAGTAAGGGATGCGTGTGAACTTCGTGATGCTTATTATTGATCTTACTGCTCAAATCCTCCAGCATGGAAGCGCATTCCTCCTAAAAAGAAAATTATTTCATTAAACGTACACAAGTATTTATCGAGAACTAAAATTGAAAATTTGAAATTGAATGATTAAAATATAATAATCATACTTTTTCCACATAATATGACATTTTTTTGTATATATATAAATATTATATTCAAAAATAGAACTTTTAACGAAAAAATGTTACATTTTTTTGTTGATCTATTTCTACATTTAATATTATCTCCGTCCTAGTTGTAACACATGCGTGGATACATTATGCATATATGTTACTTTGTAAAAACGTAGAAGAGATTAGTATCTTTAATAGAGTAATTCAATAAAACTATCCATAGTATTCATTCGAAGATAATATTTAGGCGATCAATGTTTTCTTAGGTCACGTTACTTCGCGAATTCAACAACGTGAAACATAACACCTAGTAGTTACTCGTGGAATCACGGCATCGATTTCCATTATCAACTGTCGCTATCCCTTTTCATATCTTTTCTCTCTTTAATCTTTTTTTTCTTTTTTTTTTATTCCCATTCTCTTTTCCTTTCTTTCTTCCTCTCTCTCTCTCTCCCTCTCTCTCTCTTTGTCCTGTTCTCTTCTCGCTTCGAAATTACCTTCGGCTCGTTGAATCTTTAATTTCCGGTGTAGAATAGAGAAACTGAGGCCAGAACGATTTTTGGTGATATTTTTCGTTGGTAGGAAAGGGTGTGCGAAGGGGAGAAGGGTACGATGGGGGATGTACGCGACACACATCGTGCGTCACGTGGCACGACGAGATTTCGAAGCGTCGAAAATACGCGTCAGTTCTTCCTAGTCCTTGCTCTCGTCGTCGTCGTCGTCATCGTCCTCGTCGTCATCGTCCTCGTCCTCGTCGTCGTCGTCTTCGTCGTTTTTGGAGTGCTCATTCGTTTCGCAAAAGTCCTTTACCAAACGTCGGATATTCATTGAAATTAAATTCCATTGCCGCCTTTTTCCCAGGAATCGAATTTTTTCGTAGATAAAGATAGATAGAGTATTATTGGTAACATTATTCCAACCCTAATAGGGGTATCCTTTATTCTATTTTATTCATATTACTTTCGATATATATTTTCTTCCGAGAAGTCTATATATAATATTTTTTATACATATTATTATTAATTATATGTCAAATTCAATTTTGCGATTTTTCGATATGTTTTATTATTTTCTTAAACCCTTTTCAACCCCATGGTCATCGAAATGTCAATACCTTACAAGATATTTGACATATTTGACAAACAAACAAAAAATAGGTATTTACCAATAAGTTTTTTTTAATGATTTTTATATATTGTAGATTTCTCTTTTTTCTTTCCTTTGATCCATAAATTCAAGAGAGAATACATCCGATAATATGTATTATTATAATTAATATAATAGTTATAATAATACAATATACGTATATTTATAAATTAGTTTTTCTCTCGTTCATTATTATTACGCTAAGAACTTTATATACATATAATGTATATACTAGTCATTTTGTTTGATCTCATTATACGATATGTTATTTATCAAACATATTAATGTATACAACTATGGGGATTGCTCAAGGAGAAATTCATTGGGCGGTGATTTTAAAAATTCACTATGACATCGTCGACAATCGCATTATTCCTATATCCACGCATCCGCTTTTATCCTGTAATTCAATAAAATGCTAGCGGGGCAATAACAATCCAAGCAGGGGATTCCGGCGAAAACCCAAAGCTATAATTCATTTTACATATCGGCTTGCGCTAATTGCCACCGGTTTCGAACTCCTCCTTCTCTCACGTAGCGTGTTAATTATCGAACACGAGGATCGACGATCTTGCGGCACAGTGAGAGAGAGTGAGAGAGAGCTTAGTTCAATTTTCTTTGTTACACGATATTCTAAATCGTTGACGATGTGACTATCACGATTTGTTCGATTAAGATGGAACATTGTAATTGAATGCCACTATACAAATTTATGTATGGAATTGTAATTAAATCATATCTATAATAAACTAATCTAACAATTATTAAAGAGGAATAATATTTCCATATGTAATATAAATATAAACATAAAATATAAAATATATGAAAAAAGAATTAAACAATAAATGGTATAGATATCATTTAAACGATATTATTTAAAATAAAATTGATCTTTTGAATTATTTATCTATAATATATACCTAATTTCATTTTACCTAATAGGTTACAAATTTAGACAATAGCTTTCAATAAATATTTGCCAAAATTTTTCAAAGAAATGGCAAAGTTGGAAAAATTTGCAGCATCGCATTCTTTACCATTTTATGAACCTTTGCAGATTGATTTATAACTCGAAAAGGTACTCTACGTGTAGACAAAAGAGTGTACTTTAATTTAATATAARWWTCATTAAAATCYATTYRCKWWTAGTATAAAAAATATTTACCAAAACTTTTCAAAGAAATTGCAAAGATGCACAATTTACAGCATTGCAATATTTGTCTGTGCCCGAGAATGTATTCTTTTCAACGTTGTCTAAATAGTAATTTGATATTTTATATAATAGAATATCAAAGTATTATGTTCGATGCCTAGAAAAAACTAGAAGAATTTTTCAATTTCCGACTTCATCTGAAGGCTCTTTGCATTCATAGTAATACCGAGGAATTACTAGCAATGACTGATTTCCGGCTTTGACGGTAACATTTACATCTTTAGTTTCTTTTCGTTCATACGACGCAGAAAACACTTCTCGAATTTTTTCTTACCCTCATATATATTGGAAACTATCTGATCGAGTGTTGATACTTGAAATATTAGCAATAGATACTTACGTGCTATCTATTTAAGTATAAGATTTAATTAATGCGATTAATGTAACCCGAAAGATTAAAAGTTGCCTTTCGCCTAGAAAGTTTTCTATCAAAGATCGTAATCCATAAAGAGAAGCGTGTATACGAGAAAAGGGAGAAGGAGAAAGAGAAAGAAGAAAGAGAGAGAGAGAGAGAGAGAGAGAGAGAGAGAGAGAGAGAGAGAGTGTTTACCATCGAGTCACGGTTTAATTAATACGGGGCTGCGGCATACCGACGGAATTCTGCGGAAGCTCGATACCCTGGTATAATTTACGAACGTTCTCGTCTATTACCGTTAGATTCCTTTTATCAATATAATACAGCTAAATATTTAGATGCACACGTAAATAACATAGTTTCAAGGAAGCAAAGTTGAAATATCCTATGGAAACACTTCGTTGACCAATCTCAAGAGAGATATTTTCTAAATCAAATTTGAAAATTGATCCTATCCTTTGGATAAATTAATTTCTTATTAAAAATTCCTATCTCATCGTCTCTCTGTAAATTTTATCCATAAAAACTTGATAAATTATTTCGAAGATTGTAGATCAGCATGAGTTCGTTAAAAAGTGACACGATACGATGACTTAAGTGTAGCTTAGAGAAAGAAAATGGGATAGAAAGAAATAAAGAAGAAGAGAGTGTGTGTGTGTGTGAGAGAAAGAGAGAGAAAGAGAGAGAGAGAGAGAGAAAGAGAAAGAGTATCTATCTCAAGAGAAAACTAAGGATCGTACTGCTTTCCAAAGGAGGGAATAATGTTCCCGATCCACTAGAGAATTCTGAGAACTAATGCTATATCTCTTTCTCTTACCTCTCGAGAAAACGATCTACGAAGCAAAGGATCCTATCTATATACGTTTGAAGATACGTGAATGAGGAACCGTTATAAGATGGCATCGCAATGGTGTGTCTTAACCGTTGTTGCAGGTGCATCCGCGTTTCTCGCCAGACAGGTAAACCATTATCCTTCTTCCTCTGAGAGAATCCCTTATTAATGGCCGGCTAATTGGATTTCTCGGGAGAGAAACGATTAGGTCAACGTACCCTTGTATGCGAAGATAAACGGATAGATAGAGAGACAGAGAAATAGCCTAAGAGAAAAAGAGAGAGAGAGAGAGAGAGAGAGAGAAGATTCGCAGTAACGAAGAATAGAGAGATCTGTTATATGAAGGTGATGTTCTTTACTGACCCCCTTTCCATTTCATACCTAAACTTCGATTGAAAAGGAAGAAAGAGAGAGAAAGAGAGAGAGAGAGAGAGACAAAGACAGATTCTATTCGATATCTGAAACGATTCTGTTCGCAACGTTCGTTTACAGTTCGAAACGAGACCCGTTTGCGACTCATGTCGTCGGGACAATCTTATCAATGTATAATGACGTGATAATGGAAAGATGTACATCGACGATAAGAATAACTGTTTGACTGTAACTCTATCTCTATCTCTGATTTTTCATTTCTTGCGTTTTATTTTTATCATTTGTTATCCTTTCGTTTATAATATTTCTTTTCAAATTGAAACTCGTTAGAATAAACTTCTACGCTTTAATAATTTATATTAAGGTACGCAATGTGTGTATGTGGGGGTTTATCATACGGTTAATAACGCAGAGAAAAAGAGTGAGAAGGAGGAACAATAATCTTTTTAATTTAATATAAATTTTGACGACGACGCGATCGGTTAGGTCTAAGCGGTTGGTAGTCTCGTAAAAGTTGTGCATTAGTGCTGATAGTAACTATAAACGAATGTTTTAATGATCGCTTAAAAGAATCCTTTCATTGAAGAAAGGGCAATACTCTCCGACCATCTATAGCATCTACTTGATCGATAACGACGTCGAGACTTAGTTAACGTTTAATAACAAAAGTCTAAAAAAAAGCAGTCGACCAAGATGAAAGAGTATAGGGAAGGGGGAACGAGGTTGAAAAAGAAAATGACGAAAACGTGAGTTCACGTAATGACATATTTTTCAGACAGTGAATTCTCGAGAATAAAAGAACGAGTAATTAAATTAGAATAAAATTGGAATTAATAGGGAATTATCTAATCATCGTATCTATGAAGTCGAGGATTATGAAGGTAAAATATAAAACAAAATAACCTCTTCTCGAATTTATTTTAATATTGTAAAAGCATATATGTAGTTATATACCAATTTATACCAAAATAGAATCATTT